TGGTGCTACCAAGAGGATTAAGACAAAAGCGAGATAGTGTATGACTTCTAAAAGTAGGCCAGTAGAAGGCATTGCATCTTCTAACTATTGCATTAGGCTGTGGGGCTACTCAGCAACCCCCAAGGAGGTCTGCAGAAGAGGAACGGAGGACCTTGGTCCACTTGCTAGTCATGCTAGTCATAAAAGGCTTCAGATGGCTGCAGCCCCAGTCTCACCTGATTGCAAACCCGGGCACTTCAAAGAAGCCAGGATTCTCTCTGCTCAACTGAGACCCAAGGGTTAAGGGGATGGTAGTTGGTTACTGATGTTCCAGCCCAATGAGTTTAGAGATGATGTCTTACACTGAAAGAGATAGATAATACTGAGATACCTTTGAAAAGGGCACCAGACTCAGTTACAATGAGATTCATCTGAGTTCCAAGAAACTGAAGGTTTTGTGCTATTTAAATATCCCAGGGCAGAGAAAAGCACACTTTTTATGGAATGAACATAACCTTCTTATCCAAGGCAGACTAATGCTATGCCCAGACAATAAGCACACGGAGAGACAGAAAAGCATTGAAACTAGCAATTCAGCCCTTAGGCTGACTCAGGTATGACTATTCATTGAGGTATTCTAATCAAAATACTTATAAACTTGATCAAATAATGCATTAAAACAACAAAACATGATTATCAAATTTATCCATAGCAAAATCTACCACTATAATCTATTACATTAGCATATTCAGAAGGCAAATTTGGTAATTGTCTCATGGATGCTTCAAAATTACTTGATCCTGGGCTCTCTAGATGGTCTAGCCGATTCTGTTCTTTAATCACAAAAGAGTGGCAGGAGAGCAGTTGTCACAGCATGTTAGGATGTGTCACAAAGTCTACAACATTCACTTATAGCAAACTGAAAACCAGGGACCATCTGGTTGCCAGTACAGACATTAACATCAGAACGCAGAAATGGACAGACAACAGTCTACTGCAGACAAATAGAAACTACTAGCCTGGCTTGATGGCACTCATGAGGTGGAGTTAGGAGACTCGGGAGTTTGTGGTCATCACTGGCTATATGGTGAATCCCAGGCAAGGCCTGAACTCTTTGCCTACATGAGACGCTCTCTTTCAAATTTAAAACAGAAACCACCAGCCATCACCACCATGGTGGTTTGGATTCGAAATGCCCCCTATAGGCCATGCGCCTGCACACTTGATCAGCTGGTAGCAATTTGGGCAGGCTGTTAAACCTTTAGAAGTGGAGCCTCACTGGAGGAAGCAGGTCCCTGAGGGAGAGCCTTGAGGCTTTATACCTGTTCTCACTTCCTGTTTACTCTTCGCTGCCTTACTATGGGCGCTGTGCGACCACTCAGGAGGCCACCATGCCCTCTCCATCTGCTAACACATCTTCACTTAACAGGAAGGACTGCGTCCCCCTTGAAACTGTAAGCTAAGATAAGCCCTTTCTGAAGGACATGCACTCGGTGTGTGTTAGTCACCTGATTGGTTGCTGTGGTAAAACACCCTGCGAAAAGCTCCCAGCTCATGGAGGGGAAGGTATGCACATGGCAGCAGGGAGCTTGAGGTCACATCACACCTATGCTCAGGAAGCAGAGTGATGCATGCTGGTACTTAGTCACATTCTTCTGTCTATTCAGTCTGGCATGTAGGATGGGTCTTCCCCTCAGTTAACCTAATCTAACAATCCCTCACAGATACCACCAGAAGCTTGTTTCTAGACCTTGTCAAGATGACAAGGAGGGTTAACCATCACACACAAGGGGATGAGGTATGTGTGATTTATACACAATGCTCAAAAAGTCCCCCCTCCCCATGATTCTGAGCTCCTCCCAGATAGGCCAAGAAACCCCAGCTTTCAGAAACTGTAAAATCACATTTATGGAAGCATCAGGCTCCAGGAAGAAATGACAGGTTGAAAAAAAAAAGAAAGAAAGAAAAGAAATGCCAGGTTGGTTTATAAACCTTATGGGAGAAGGAGAAGAAGAGGTCTTTTTTTTTTTTTTTTTTTTTGAGATAGGGTTTCTCTGTATTGCTTTGGAGGCTGTCCTGGAACTTTGTAGACCAGACTGGCCTTGAACTCACAGAGATCCTCCTGCCTCTGCCTCCCGAGTGCTGGGACTAAAGGCGTGCAACACCAACGCCCGGCTCAAAAGAAGAGTCTTATTTCTCATGGTTCATACTTGAAAGCAGGAGACCTTGGTTCATCCTTAATTTCCATTGTCTTCAAAGAGAATTCAGGGTAGACTAGCTCTTTGTCTTCTCTATCACTAGATAAAATGATGTTAAAATTAAAGATGTCAAGTGTAGGTGCTCACATCTCCAAGTCAACAATGTAACAGTACTTTTAAAGGGCTGCTGTAGGGCCCAGAGAGCTCAATGGTCAAGAGCTGCTTTTCCAGAGGACCAGGTTCAGTTCACAGCATCCAAATGGTGGCTCAAAACAATCTGTAACTACGGTCCCAGGGGGATCTGATACCCTCTTCTGACTTCTGTGGGCACTGTATACATATAATGTATACACATACACATAGACAAAACATCCCCACACATACATGTTTTTGATGAAAAATAAAACAAAGGACTAGTGCATATTGATCCTAGCCTCTAGATGAGACTGGGGAAAACACAAGCCAGGGGATAGGGCTAATCTGTCTTTGTATCTGGGATGCTGTGAGTCAGACCTCATGTCCAGTCTCCAAAGTGAATTCACTATGGGCCTGCTTCTTCAGGGCACTGGCAAAAATATGTAAAGATAACTTACAAACAAAAAAAAATATTGAATCATTCAGTCTGGCAAAGTTTTCTCACTCATGAATTATTAATCACAATATCTAAAAATATTTTTCATCCAAGAGCCCCAAAGCACTAAGCAATATAATTCTGCTTTCTCTTCAGACTGTCCTGTCTCAATAGTTGAAGAACAGTCAGTAGACTGACTACTTACTCCTCACACACAGAAGTGAAGGCATTGCTGCCTACCACAATAGAAAGCTTGAAGATAGTATTTGAAAACACAATGATGATCAAAGTCTTTTCAAAGAAAATTTTTCTGAAAGATGGATGCCCAGGCATCATTCAACCTATTAGGGGAGACAAAGGTGATTATGTTCTTTGGTTTTTGTGGGATTTATTATATTCAAATCTACAGAGTGCTTTGGGACACTAAATTTGAGTCTCTTGAAACTTTAACTATGCCACATGCAGTGGTTTGAATGAGAATGTACCCCAAAGGCTTGGATGTTCAAATAGTTGGTCCCCAATTGGTATAGTTGTTTGGGATGCTTAGGAGGTGTGACTTTGCTGGAGGAAGTATGTCACTGGGGGTGGACTTGGAGAATTCTCTTTCTCTTTATGCTTGTCTATGAGATAGCTCTTCCAGCTGCCACAATCCCCTGCCATGATGGACACTATCCCTCTGGAACCACAAGTCCAAATAAGCTTTCTACAAGTTGCCTTGTTCATGGTATTTTTTCACAGCAATACTTTAAAATGCTACTTTAGGATTTCGGGCTTTTTTGTCCTTGAGACAGACTCTCTCTACATATGCCTGGCTGTCCTGGAACTCACAGAGATCTGCCTGCCTCTACCTCCCTAGTGCTGGGATTAAAGCCATAGGCCACCATACCAGGTCATTTTGCTTTTCTGAAACAGGTCTCATTATGTCATCCTAGCTGGCCTGGACTTTACTGGGTAGACCAGATGGCCTCAGACTTTCTGCGCTCCTCCTGTCTCTGTCTCTGGAAAGCTGGGCTTGTAGGCATGTGCCTCCACACCAGGTGAAATACACTGCAGTGTTAAACTGAAGCTAGCTGACCTCCAAGTTACAGAGCATTGTCAACCTTAAGTTGTTTACCAAGTTATTTTCCAGAGAAAAAAAGAAAGCTGGTTGTTCAGCAAAAAGTTCTAGATTACAGAAAAATGAGAGTAAATGCTGAGAATAAATAGCACATAATTTTTTATCTTTTTTTAATGTGGGAAGGAAGTTTTAGTGGGGGAAGGGAAGGGAGTATGAAAAGGAAAGGAGAGAGAGAAGCGAGAGAGAGGGAGAGAGAGGTGGGCTTCTGCCCTCTCTTTCTCTCTCTCCTTTCTCACTCTAAAATTTCTCAGTGTTCTTCCACTGAGCTATAGCCCCAGCTCTAACCTCAACTTGTTATGTGATCAAGGATGACCTGGAAGTCCAGACCCTTCTTTCTCCAATTACAAATGCTGGGAATATAGATTTATACCACCATACATGGCCTTAGAATCTACTTTTAAACAATTAGAAAATAAAATAATAGTAAAAAAGAAAGAACAGATTTCAAGATTCTTAACTGACATTTATATTACTAAGGTCAGAACCTTTGTGGTGGTTTGAATGAGAATGGCCTTCATATGCTTACATATTTACACACTCAGGCCCCAGTTGATGAACTAGTTGGTAAAGATTAGGAGGTATGGCCATGCTGAAATAGATGATGTGTCCTTGTTGGAGGAGGTGTGTCACTGGGGGGGGTGGATTTTGAGGTTTCAAAAGCCTACTCCTGGCCCAGTGTCTCCCACTATGTGTCTGATGTCTGCAGATCAGGGTGTAAAGCTCACAACCACTGCTCCAGCATCATGTCTGTCTGCCTGCCACTTACCTATGGTGATGTCTTGCTTGTACAAATAAAGCCTTAGGTTGGTTGCATTAAGGACAGCTAGGACATTTCCTTATAATGTCCTTGGCTTGTTGCCAAGTGATGGAAAGTCTTTTTTCAAACCTTTGCTATTGACATGGTGTTTCTATGAAATTCTGAGGGCTTCATCACATTTCTTATTAATGGTTGATCAATTTCATCATTACTTTTTGCTACAGGGCTTGGCAGACCTATTTGGGATCAGATGTCCATTATACATATGGGATTATCCTGTCCCTCATTATGTCTTGCAACTGAATAAATAATAAAGTCAATTCTGTATCATCTAGTATAAATTCATTGGTCTCAATATGTAAAACAACTCTCTCTCTGGTGCTCGCTTTTGGCAGCACATATACTAAAATTGGAATGACAGAGAGAAGATTAGCATGGCCCTGTGCAAGGATGACACGCAAATTAGTGAAGTGTTTCATGCTTTTTTAGAAAAGAAACATGTCTGACATTAATGCTAAAAAACCACAACTCTTCCTGCATATTGTGAATCAGTAACTATGTTGAGAGGTTCTTTATGATCCATTAACAATACCCCCCACCATGATGATAATGGCATAAACCTTTAAAACTATACCCAAGCCCTAGTTAAGTGCTTTTTTTTTGTAACAATTGCTTTGGTTATGGTGTCTCTAAATAGCAATAGAACAGTAACTAAGACAAACCTTAATAGAAGGATAATTTCGATTAAGGAAATAAAGACTTTTTCTCCCCAGAGACCTGATTTACTCTTAATGGGAAAGATTGAGATAGGAGGTCTAAACTGAACTGCATATAAAACTACTGGGGATTTTCTTTTCTCTAGAAATATCCTATGACTGGAAGAATCAACTTGAGCATATGAAAGAAAGGTTTCAGAGTATGTACTCAGTGTGAACCTACTGCTTATCCCAATCCACAGAGATGGAGCTAATTGCCAGGGGCTAGCACACCTGTTCACTAGAAGCTGCAGTGAGGTGGCTTATCCATGGCACATGGTTGCATCAGGGAAGGAAAGATGGCCAATAAAAGCCAGAGTGACATTGCCATAAAAATGAGAAACAGAGCCCGTGAATGGCAAAATACAGCCAGCCACAAAACTCTGAATTCTGCTGGGGCTAGAGAACACAATGACGACTTGGAATTGTCAACTTGATACAATCTAGAATCACCTAGATTGTAAGAGAGTCTCAAAGGGGGACTCTCTGGGTCAGGTAGGCCTTTGGCATGTCTGTGTGGGACTATTTTTAATATGTTGATATGGGAAGACCCACCCACTATGTGCAGTACCACTTCCTAGGCAGGGGATGCTAGGAGTAGAGGAAGTGAGTGGAGCACTAGCTGGTATTGCTCTGCATTTCTGATTGTGGAGGAAATATGACCAACTTCCTCAAATCCTACATTTGTGACTTCTCTAATATGAGGGACTGTTAACTGAAACTGGAGCCAAAATAAACCCTTAGTCCCCTAAATTGCCTTTGTCGGGGTCTTTAAACACAGCACAGGAAATGAAAATGAGCCAGTGGACAAGGACAATATTAATGCCACAGGCTTTATCTGCACACTCCACATGTGGATTTGGCACACAATGGACAAATCTATGTTGAATGAGAAACTTTGTAATGGTATTTTCTAGCCATCCATTTTGTCATAGTAATTGTAATTTTATCTTAAAGAGAGAATCAACAATAGGGTATCAGTACATCAAAAATTACAGGTCAAATAATAACCATTTTTCTTGGTATCTTAGCACTTTGTTTCCTTTTGTTGTTTCTGAGACAGCATCAGGCTGATCTTCACCTTGCCAGAGCTGACCTTGAACTCCTGTTCCTCCTGCCACCAGGAGCGACTGCAGGTGTGTGCTTCCACATGTGGAGTGTGCAGTCTTTTTTCCTTCCTCCCATCCCGGTTTTCTTAGTCTCTTTATTGGGTGTGTGTTCATGTACATGAATGAGTGCAGGTGCATGGATGCCACAGTACACTAGTGATGTCACATGATAAACTCATGTCCTTGCCTTCTGCCTTGAGATAGGGTCTCCTGTCATTTACCGTAGTATACGGCAGGCCAGAGGGTCTATAGAGCATCTAGAGTCTCTTCTCTTTGTTTCCCATCTTGACAGGTGCTGGGATTTCAAATGAGTGTTATTGTGTCTGGCTTTTTGTGAGTTCTAGGGATGGAAACTCAGGTCCTGATTGTAAAATAAGCACATTCCCCGCTGAGCTATCTCTCCTTGCTGTTTTTTTTTCCCTTTGTGTTTATTTTTACTTACATTATTCAGCAGGGTGCCTTTTAAAAATGTCTTTCTACATGTTTAGAGGAAGTAAAAAGAATTTTATATCTCCATGTACAGGTTTATTCTTTTTTTTGGGGGGGGCATGTGGTTTGGAGGTAGTTTCTCTGTGACTTTGGAGGCTGTCCTGGAACTCGATCTTGTAGACCAGGCTGGTGACACAGAGATCTGCCTGCTTCTGTCTCTGCCTCCCTAGTGCTGGGACTAAAGGCGTGCACCACCACCGCCTGGCCCAGGCTTCTTTTTAAATCTCTTGCTGTCATATCTTTCCCTACTTTCTTGAGACTCAACTATGCTCAGTATGCAGTAAGAAAGCAACTGTTGAGAAAAGATAACCTGTAGTTACCATGGCAGAAGGCTCCATGAAATTACATGCATATGCACGGGATGTTGGTAGACTTTAAGACAGGAAAATGGGATGTTTGGTACATGTATTACCTCCTTCTGTGATGGCATAGCTTCCCGAGCATCTCTAGGCCCTACATCTTCCCTGCTCACAGTGATGCCAGTAGTGTGAGACACAAGAATGTGGTTCCAGTTCCACAAACAGAATTCTCCCTGTTCTGCACTCTTCAGAAATCAGAGTTCAAGGCAAGGTGAATGAGGAAGTAAGTTTAGCTGGTGGACCTTTCTAGAGCTCAAGCCTGGCCAGATCTCTGCTTGAAGAAGGAATGGTGTCAGATAGGAAGGAACTAGGAAGGACTCCTCCCATTTGCGAGAGTGACCTTCAAAATCCAGAGTCAGGGTGTCTGCTTCTCAGGGTAAGAGGTGAGGCCAATATCTACAGCAGAGATACAGGGGCGGTACAGGGGTGGTGCAGGGGGAGGCTACGCTTCACTAGTGGTTTCCCAAATGGATCACCTGGGGGAGTGTTTAAGACACTGCCTCCTGGGTCTGCTCCTTGAGACCTGAGTGGGCTCTGGGATTGGGCAGCAGTGAGTCTGTGCCCAGCACCGTTGAGTACAGTTGTTATTTTGAGCCTGCTTATTATTTGGGATGCTTGTGTTTGAGTCATCATTTCAGCTCTATTCTTACTCATTCAGCCATCCTACTCCTTGGGTCCTGGACTATTTTCACAGGTAAGGAAGCTGAAGCTGAGAGTTTAAATAAACTGGCCTACTCAGACTTAGATCTGCTTCTGGAACCTTCTTAACCCCTGTATTTTTTTTTTTATTCAAGCTGGATGTGTACTAATGCAGGTATACCCAAACAACAGGTTTTATTATTCCTATTTAGCACCCAGAAGAGTTCAGATGCATGCAACTTTTGTTCTGGTTCCATTCTCAAATAAGATACACACACACACACACACACACACACACACACACACAGAGAGAGAGAGAGAGAGAGAGAGAGAGAGAGAGAGAGAGAGAGAGAGAGAGAGAGAGAGTCTCAATTCATAGTCTAGGTTGACCTTGAAACACTGACCTTCCTGTCTCAGCCTCTCCTAGGTTTGGGATTATAGGTGTGGGTGACCACAGCCGGTAAAGCTGTTGAATTATACTTGACTCATCTCTAACAGAAATAATAACACTTTGCCTCATTGAAAACAATGGCTTCCTACTTTCTACTGACCGGAATGTCTAAGTCAGACTCTAAGCCAAGATCTCCAGGATTTTGGTTATACATGCCTTAGGAACTCTGGGGATCAAAGTTTGGTAGACCCTGGCACAGTCTATGTAGAAGGATATTTAACACCAAAGTCTAATGGGAAGAGGAGCCATGTTTTCTTCAAAACCATAGTTTTGTGTTAACAAGGTTAAAAATATTGGCTTATTTTTTTAAGTTTTTCTTCCATAGGAAGCCCTTCCACACAAGTAAAATACTTTAATCTTAGAAAACCAATTATGCTGTTTGTTCACCAAAACTATTATGGTTTGTACAGACAGGCTTCTGGAAAAGCCAACTCTTAGGAAGTTGGTGGTTTGGAATGCCAGCCCCTATGGAGGATACGCTTAGACTAAAACACAGACATGGCTTAGCCAATGTTAAAAAGAGGAGTGTGTCTGAAATTCATGCATCAAATGCCTCCGTGCGCTTCTGACTCCGGTTTCCATCCTGGCTGTAGAAGTGGCACATTCCCTTTCCTAAAGAGACTTGGCTCCTGCCTCCATCAGACAGACACCCTCATCGGGAATCTGTGTCAAGAGCAATCTCTGTCCTTCGTCCTTCAAGGAGCCCTGGGCCCTTTTTCAATAAAGGTTGTTGGTCCTCTACACACGTGCACCAGGCACAGAGTTAGTATCATCTTTAAGAAGGCTCAATAGATTCACGGAACAGGTCAGAGGTGAAGCTGAGTCAAAAGTTGGGCCACACATTGATTTTTGATGTTTTCTTTCTTACTTTTCATTAATAAACCAACGACTGAGAATACCTCAATCTGAGGAAAGCACTAATTCTTTGTGTGGCTGAACATGTATGTTCACATGTACACATATGTGTGGTATGTGTGCATATGGCAATCTTGGGTCTTTTTAAATTTTTTTTTTTTTATTAGTTCTAGTTAGGGAACAAGCTTATTTCAAGTCCCTTCTCCCTCTCCCTCCCCTCACCCCCAAACTTT